CTCTGCATCCGCTCATGCCTCCAAGTTCCTGCCCTGTTTGAATTTCTGTTCTGACTTCCTTCAGTGATGCACCATGATGTAGAAGTATAAGCCAAATAAACCCTTTCCTCCTCAAGCTGCTTTGGTTATGGTTTTTCATCATAACAATAGAATCCATAAATAGTGTGTATGTGTGTGTGATGTGTGTGTTGGGGGCCGACACATATGCCATGGACTGCATGTGGATATCAGAGGACAACTTTGTGGAGTGAATTCTCTCCTTCAACCTTAAATAGGCTCCAGAAATTGAATTTTGAGGCCTTCAGGCTTGCAGGACAAGCACATTTACCCACTAAGCTGTTGTACCCAGAGTCCCCCAAAAGACCACCAAGAGACCGATCCTAATGCAAAATCAAAGAGTCTTTTTATTTATGAGTTAACCTGGGTCTCTCCATCTGTCTGATGCAGCAGCTGAGCAGGAGAGACCCCGAGTAACAATCAAGCAGCGTTTTTATAGTGGTTAGGGTAGGGGCTCTGGGGGAGTTCCAACTCTATATAGTTACAAGCTCAGAGATGATTGGTTTAAACTGACTGGAGAGTTGCAGCTGCAAGGAAATTGCCATGTCCTCTACAGTTTATGTCATCGCAGACCCATTTTTCTCTGACAATAAGAAATCCCATTTCTTCTCTGCAGGAAACTTGCTCCCTCTGACTGCTATGGTATACAATCTATCATGTCCTTTAGGTTATGGCAGGAAATATCTGGAACTCGTTTTTTATGTTGCCACGGACTGGCCCACCAGGAGTACCACGACCGTGGGAGAACCAGGGCTTGGGTAGTCAGGAAGGCAAGGATTTGGCGAATGACAGACAGACAACACACTCAGAAGTGGTTTGAATCTGCTGCAGTTTTACTTCTGCAAATCAGTAGTTTATACACTATACAGAAAAGAAAACTATCAAGAGCTGGGCAATAATTCAATTACATCATCTTTAAAAAACAGCAAGCACGTAATTATTAATCGGTGCTAGACATATCCCTTCACCCACAGGAACTTTATGGCCCAAAGAGCAGTCTGTGGTTTCTAAACTTAGTACAGTCCCAAGACTTGTGCAGACTTCTTGCGGTTGCAGCTGCGTCCCTTATCTTACCCCAGCAGTTTCTATACACTTCTACTTCTCTGGTTCTCATGGCCCACTTGGCCAATTTGGATGCTGTAGACCCTCTCTAAGTCTTTCTTCAGTTCTCCACCATATATCTCTTCTAATATAAAACCTTTTTACCTGCTGGAATATGGACTCTTGTACTTTTACGCCTGTAAAGGGAAGGGGTTCTGCTGTAGTCCTTAAGTTTCCCATGCTGAACTTCCCCAACGGAGGGACCCACCATCTGCCTCCTATGAGATAATGTTTTCTGCCATAAATCACTTTAGTTGGGATTCCCAAAGGTTTCCTAGTGGGTGAGTATTCATTCCCTAGAAGTGCCTGAACTTTTATACTTTCTTTATCTAGCAGCTCGGGGTTTTTAAGAAATAGCTCATTCTGCTGTATCTGATTCACCACATCCCCAAAAGTTTCATTTTCTCTCCACTCTATTCCTATAAGAGCTTGCAGAAGAGGGGGATCTCCTAGGGAATTATTTTCTTGACTATTCTTTCTCATAATCCTAACCAGGTCATCGGGTCCCAGCCCAACAGTCACACCATCATGAGTCTGATTAAGATCCATGTCCAGATTCCCATTTCCTCCATAGTTCACAACCTAAGCATTCATTAATTCTGGCTATGCTTCATAGATTAATTAGAACATTATCAAAAAAGCAGTTATACAGAACCCATAGCCCAGGGAGCTCATGATCCGTGAAGTACATCTTCTTCGAGAAGGAAGCATAATGCAGGCACTCTGCCAGGGACCTCCAGGGAGCTTAGTCTCGTGGGACACGTATCTCCCGTCCGCCATATTGACACAATTGTTCATGTCACATGGACGACACTGGAGTTGGTGTGGCATTATGTGGCTCTTAATTGTCTAGGTCTAGGGGCAGCAGATCCTCTGGTGGGCTTCCCACAGCTTGCTGTTATGATTTATTATTATGATGCGAGGGGGACCCCAAGAGTATCCTGCTGGGCAGATGCAGCGGTGGCTGGGCGACCCACTCCATGGGGGCATGGCAGCGGGGCAGAGGGTGGACATTCACAACCCAGAGGCTGCATCCGCATGGAAATGGTTTATTATAATAGAGAGATCAAGGGACAGTGTAGCGAGCACATACCTCAGTTACGGGGGAGGAATAATCACTCTTGATTCGGACTTGGTATAACACTCATTTATTCACACAGTAAGATTACAAGCAATACTCATCCTGTCTTCCAAATGGAAGCAGGAGTACCTCTCCGGGTATACAGGTCCGGACTCGCCACGTCTGTTCCTCTGGATCTTGGGTCAGCCTTCCTCAGGTCAGCCACGTCTGCACTGGGGACAAGATCTCACATCTCTGGCAGAGGAGAGTCGTCTCGCACGAGGGCCTGACGAGCTCTGTTGGTCGGATCTGAGGCTTCATCTTTTATATTCTTTCCTGGCTAGGTTTCTAGTCTTATCCCTACTTCCACACATAGCTTATAGCTTATCACTACTCCATTTGTGGTTTACTTACATCATTCTATTGCTTATCACTCCTGACCAGGTTTGTTCACCCTAGGCCTTACATGTGTTCCTTACAGACAGAGACATAGAAAGAGGAAGACGGGGGGGGGGGGGGGGGTCGAGGGGTGCACACCTTGTGGGAGCGGAGGGAGAGAGGAGAGAGAGAGAAATGGGAGGAGTTTTTCCTTAAAAAAGAGACTTTCACGTCAGGACACAGGGTGGCGCCAAGGGGCGGGATCAGAATATTAACCCTGCTGCCCCCCACTCTGACCCTTCTCTAAGATGGCTGCAATCCTGTCATCCTCTCAAAGCTCTCTCCCCAGCCCCTGTTCAAACTGGCCTGAAACTCACTAAGTATCCCAGGCTGGCCTCAAACTCAAGTTAATCCTCCTGCCTCAGCCTCCCAAGTGCTGGGATTATGTGCATGAATCAGTATGCCCAGTCATTTTTAAAAATGTTAAGTACTATGTGATTCTATCATCCATTTCATGAAATACCCAGGACCCCTAGCAAAATCACAGCCGTGTTCAGTGTGGAACTTACCATCCCAGTTACTGCATTCCTAATAGTGTGAACACTGGGCACTACTGCTCTGTGCCACAGACAACGCACGGCCAAGAACCTTTGGCTTTGGAGTCACATGACCAGCGTTATTGGGAATTAGTGAAAAGTGGGAGAGGCCTAGTTTGAAGAAGGTGGGGGTTGTCCTTACGGTTGTCTTGCCCTGGCTCCTGACTCCCTTTCCTGTTTCCTGTCTGCCGTGAGGTGAGCAGCCTCTGCCACATACATGTTCCTGCCACCATATTCTGCCTCACCACAGACAAAGCCGAGGACTGAGGACTGAACTATCAGAACTGGTGTAGGAGGCAGAGGTCTCTGGGCTCACAGATAAGCACTAGGGGAACCTGGAATGTTCGGCACACACGGCTGTTCCTTCAAGGGAAGGAGTGCAGGATCTGTTGTCTGCCCAGAAGGCTGGGAGTGGATGTGCTTGCTGGCCTAGTGACTCTTGTGCCCGTGTCTGGAGACCCCCCAAGCAAGAAAGACCACCACAGAGCTGATATCCAATGCAAGTACAAAGGGTAAGCAAGCCCGGGCTTGGTCCGCGTCCAACACACTGGCTAACCAGGTGAAGGAGGACAGCCCGGAGCTCTCAGAGTGAAGGGTTTTTAAAGGGAAAAGCCGCAAGCTAGGGATACAAGCCTTTGCATTCCAGGGTCATACTTCAGTTAACAAGAACAGTTAGCCTGGAGCAGAACTACAGAAGACAATACATTTGGAGACTCTCCCAGAACTAAGCCTTTGTTTTAGTTTTAAGGCAGCCTACCCACCCCCCCCACCCCCCCCACCCCCTCCCCGCAGGTTGCCTTGACCAGAGTCTTAGCTGGGTGTCTGTGTCTCTGGAACTTGATTCAGCTTTTTTTTTTTTTTTTTAAAGATTTATTTATTTATTATGTATACAGCATGTATGACTGCAGGTCAGAAGAGGGCACCAGATCTCACTACAGATGGTTGTGAGCCACCATGTGGTTGCTGGGAATTGAACTCAGGACCTCTGGAAGAGCAGGCAGTGCTCTTAACCTCTGAGCCATCTCTCCAGCCCTTGTTTTTTTTTTGTTTTTTTTGTTTTTTTGTTTTTTTGTTTTTCGAGACAGGGTTTCTCTGTGTAGCTTTTTGCCTTTCCTGGAACTCACTTGGTAGCCCAGGCTGGCCTCGAACTCACAGAGATCCGCCTGGCTCTGCCTCCCGAGTGCTGGGATTAATTGATTCAGCTTTTATCTGAGTATTGCTAGAAATGAAGTTTTCTTTAAAATGGAGTTTATCTTGCTCTCTCAGTGACCTTTGCGCTGTTTGGTTAGATACTTTCCCAGTACCAGATCCTCCCCAGACCCTTATCGTAAATTCATTTTTCTCAGTCACTCTGTAGAACCTGTCTTTATGGACTTCACAAAGACTTTCACTGTAGTCGCATGTGATCTGTTTTTAGCTTACTTTGTTCCTCCAGGAGATCTATGTATGCTTTGTTGTGCATGCAGGACTTAGTTAATCATCACCAGAATAGTGTTCACCCAATGGTGCTGTGCTTACATGTGCCTAAAATAAAATACTTGGAGGCGGACTTCAGAAGTTTGAAACAACATTGGCTACTGAACTGTGTTGAACTGAACTGCCTTCTTGTACACAGAGACCCCCAAAACTGCTGAGCCAGAATGAACTCTTCCTTGGCCAAGTGGTTCCTAGCAGGTATTTTTTCACAGCGATGAGACATTGACATGGGAACTTCCGGTGATTCCAAATGACCGTTCTTATGAATAACACACATGCCATACATAGTTAGGGTTTCTATTGCTATGAAAAGACACCATGACCACAGCAGCTCTTATAAAGGAAAACATTTAACTGGGGTAGCTCGCTTATAGTTTCAGCAATTCAGTCCATTATCATCATGACAGGGAGCATGGCATCATGCAGGTAGATGTGGTGCTGGAGTAGAAGCTGAGAGAGTCCTACATCTTCCAGACAACAGAAGTCGATTGACACACTGGGCGGTATCGTGAGCATAGGAAACCTCAAAGCCCCCACAGTGGCACACTTCCTCCAACAAGGCCATATTCACTCCAACAAAGCCACACCTCCTAATAGTGCCATGCCCTATAAGATTAAAGGGCCCAATTACATGCAAACTACCACAACACAAGACTTTTTTTATAATAGTTCTGTCCCCTAAAAACATGACAGCCACGTGTTTCTTGCATCTCTTTAAGTCAAAATGGCCTCACAAGTCTAGCAGGTACAAATCACAGTGCTCCCCCACCTACAGTGGGTCCCCAACCTACCAGACACCACCACCTAGGGAGACTCGGGGCACAGCCGATATCCACCATCTACCCTCCTGATCACAGGAGCCAATGGCGCTGCATAGTATCAGACCACATACCACTAGGGAAAACTAAACTGAAAAGTCCAGGCCCGAGGTCTATGGAATTCAGAATGTCACTTTTGTGATGGATAGATGAGTGGGCATCGGGATGGATGGGTGAGTGATGGTGGGTGACTGCAGTGACGTGGGATGAGGAAAGAGGCACTCAATGACACGCTGTGCTGCCATGCCTTTGCCAACCGAATCCCTCTCGGTGACCTGTGCTTTTCTCTCTGCCTCCGCTCGGGGCTACCCGTTCTTAACAGGTCCATTTGCTGCTCTCGAATCTTTTATAGTCTGGGCAATGTTGTGACATTCTGGACAGGTGCCAAGTGTGTCTTCTTCTCGTAAAATGAAAGGACAATGAGCAAGGGGCAGGAAGGATGACCAGCCTGGGCAGTCACAGCAGCCCGGCCTCATCTCCCTAAGAAAAGTGACATCCTGGTGGAGTCCTGGGTACACTAGCTGGACTAACAGCCCAGGCTTTCACAGCGGGGCAGGGATGGAAATGCCTGACTGTGTCTGGGCAAACCCCACTCATGTCAGGGAAGACCCTCCTGTTCTAGTGAACCAGCAGCTCTGTGCTCACCATATGCCCTGAAAGGCAGAATGGTCAGGAACATTCTTCCTTCGGCCTCCAGACTGATGCCTGGCATGCTATGGGACACAGCTCTTCCCACACACACTCAGACTGTGACACCAAGAGAGAAGTCTCTATATCAGGGAGCCAAAGAAAGCTTTTTGAATATGCAGTTTCTAAACAGAAGTCAAGGTCCTTTGAATTCTGTGATAACCATTCAAACAAAAATGACTTGTAAAGACAATCTGGGCCATGAAAGAAACCCTGGGCCCACAAGAAGGAAGCCACTACTTCTATGAGAACTTCATGATTGGCTGGGAGCTTCCTGGCAGGCAAGGCTGAATAGGATAGATGAATTTCTAATGGAGTTTCCTTTGACTTAAGAGCAGCCTGACAGGGTTCTCTCCTAGTCATTTTTCTATCACACATATAAATTACACTCACACACATCTCAGATGAAGCTTTCTAGGGGACAAAAGAACATTATTAATGGACCATGGTTAACTTCTCTATTCTATTCAGCTTAACGTCTTACAGAATCAGTGTTGTCCTTGAAAAGGTACACAAACGAGGAATTGAAGTTAAAGAAGAGAGCCCTTCCTTAGAAGGTTGTTGGTTCCCAAGGAAAGCTGGTATCTGGACACATCTGGCCACTGCCCAGGGAGCCCCCACCACTCCCATGCCGGGCACCAGGCCTTCCAGATCAGGCCTAGAGCTCCACTTGCCTGTAAAGTGCTCGTAAGACAAGGTAGCCAGACCCAGGGATGGGGAGATAAGCAGACACAGCGCTTCTGGCCGCATGGTCAGCACAGAGGCTTGGCTCAATCCCCAGCTCTGGCCTTTCTGAATCACTTAACTCTCCACGGTCTCTCTTGGAGCTGGAGATGTAGCTTAGGGTAAAACACATTCCCCCTCCACTGTAACTCAACTTGCCAGGCCTGGCTGACAGAGGTGACCTCAAGGCTTTGCTTGAATGACATCCCCCAGCCCAGAGTTCCGGGTGACAGCCCATGCCTCTGGAATCTTCTCTCCACACAAGCCGCTGGCAGCTTAGGAAGCCCGAGCACAGATGTTGTTGGAGATCTTCACTCTTCTGCCTAAAGCTCAGGACAGCCTGAGCCGCTGCTGCCCGGAGCTGGGGTGGTCAGCTTCCGGCCCAGGTGGGAAGAACCACGCAGCCTGTGGATAAAACACAGGGAGAAGATGAATGGCCACATTGCTCTGTCTAGCCTGGCTAGATTCAAGAGCCCCCAGGGCTAGGACTCAGACCTCGACACCTTAATACACGGGGCAGATAAGGCTCTGTTGTGCATCCCAGTGCGGCCAGGCCTGGACAGTTCAGGAACCAGAGACACCTTTGCCACCCAGCGGGAGTCACACCCTCTTCTGTCACCCTCCAGGTGCTGAGAAAACAAGAATGTGAAACCACACCCTGCCCCACCCCAAACCTCTTCACTTAGCACCCACCAACGCCAATGGTATGCCTATTTGAGGAAGGATGGCCACATCAGCCTCCATAATTGATAGTTCCAGGCTGACTACAACTGAGACTGGGCAGGCTCGCACACTGGTGGATGCCATCAAATGCTTTCTCCACTACAGTGGGGAAGCCTGGAACAGGTCAGGCCGTGGGCCTTGCTGGACCTTACCCAAGGCAGCAGCTCTGCCTTCTCAGGGGCGGTACAGAGCAGGAGGGAAAAGGTCAAGTTCTGTGAAATCCAACTGAGAATAAGGCAATCCTGCAAAGGATCCGCAGGGAATTCTGGTCAGGCAGGGGCCAACTTGTAACTGCCAGGTGGCCAGGGCCACCTTGTGCTTACAGAATTTGTAAGTAAAAATGTAAAGAAACATTAGGTTTTGTTACTACATTTTCCACAAAGGTCACTGTACTTTGCTCGTATCTGCCCCTCCCACCGTCCCCCCTGCTGGTCCCCTCTTTCCCCACAAAATAAATCACCTTCAGCTCTTGGCATACACACATATAGGTAAATCCACGGGAGGATGATGTAACATTGTCTTTCTCCCCAGTCCCTACCCCCACTGCCCTCTCTCGCTGAGCATTTGACAGAAGTTTTCATCCCGAGACCCAGGTACAACCCATTTTAGTCGGGATGGGTGAGGTTACATCGCAGCAAACACCCCTCAGATGGTGGTGTCTTGGCAGAACCACGGGGCTGTGGTAAGCTTCATCTTATGGAACTCACTTTTGGGTCACTCTCAGAGACCCAAAGAGAGCAGTCACCAAGCCACCAGTCAGTGTGTCAGAGGGAAATCCATGGCAGTGGTGGTTAAGAGCCTGGCCTGGAAGGACACACCATTCCGTTCCTATCTCAGTGGCCAAAACCAGTCACACAGCTTGACTGGCCCAGAGAAAGGCAGAAGGTGTAACCCGGTCATTCGCCCACTGTCTGTAACTCCGACGAGACGGAACTGCTGACAGAGAGCTCTGTGTGTGCTAACTTATCTAACACCGCAATCACATCTGCACAGGTTGGGAAAGCAGGCAGAGATGTGAAGAAATTTATCCAAAGGCCAACAGGGACTGGGACAGAGCCAGGTCTCTGGCTTGGGTCCCTACAACCTCCCATTGTGACCCCAACACCACAAGGCTGAGGAAAACGTGGCATTAGACTCTGGGTCTCACTTAACTTTCCCCCTGAACCACAGCGTGGGAGAGGCAGGCCTCAGCCTGGCATGTCACCAGATTCTGGTATCAGGACACGGGTCTCCACCCACAAAGCAACCTTTCTCACCCAGGCTCTATCTAGTTAGGACAATTAACATTGAAGAGTGTGCCCTGTGCCCCAAGACATCCATGGCAGTAATGAATTCACTTCTGTCCTGAGCTCAGTGGCAAGTAGGAAGCTGCCTCTGGTCACTGTGTTCTCTGTTTAAAATGCTGCCTTAGGGACAGGATGGGACAGTTACCCAGAGTTTCACACCAACCCGAGGATGTGTGGAATTGACCAGCTTCTCACCAATAAGCTTTGTATAAAAGCTGTCAGACCCTCATGCTCAGCCACATGCTGATTCAAGACCCTTAGTGTCCACCTCTGCCTGCCTGGTATCCTGCCTAGACCAACATGCACACTCAGGAGCTCCACCATAAAGGACAAAGTGACAGTAATGAGTGAGATTGAAGATGACAATCTCTAGAACAATATTCCTGAACCCACCATTTCCATGGAGGTAAGTGGAGAGGGAGGTGGCAGGTAGGGCGGTCTCCTACTTAGGGGCAAAAGTCCATTCTTGAGCGCGCACACACACACACACACACACACACACACACACACACACACACACACACACACACACCCTTCCTTTCTACATATAAAGCAGATACTGATGGACCCAGGGTAGTAAAATGGGAGGGAGGAAGCTACTGGCTGCTCTTCCAAAAGACGTGGGTTCAGTTCCCAGCACCCACTTGGCAGCTCAGAACCGTCTGTAACCACCGTTCCAGGGATCCGTGTCTTCTTCTGGTCTCCTCGGGCACCAGGCATGCAAATGGTGCAGAGACATACATACAAACCATGCAAACACAGAATTCTTTCAAAACGTAATAGGGGCTGAGGATGCAGCTCAGTTGGCAGAAGGCTTGCACACACAAGACCCTGGGTTTGATCCCAGCACTTCATAAGCTGGCATGTGACAGCACACACCTATATTCTCAGCTCTGGACACAGAGGCTGCAGCATCCGAAGTTCAAGGTCACCTTTGGCTACATACCTAATTTGAGGCCTGCCCGGGTTACGAAAGACCCTGTCTAAATACAAAGTTGGTTAGTTTTTAGATGGGGTAAAGATGCTTGCTGCCAAGCCTAATAACCTGAATTCAATTTCCAGAACATACATGGTGGAAGAAGAGAATTATCTCTTGCTAGCAGCCTTCAGACCTCACATGCCTACACATACACACACACACACACACACACACACACACACACACACTCACACTCACACTCACACTCACACATGCACGCACATGCACACGCACATGCACAAATTCATAAATGTTCAAACTAAACTTAAATGGAGTAAGTAAATTCTGGAAGGAAGTTGTAAGGGGGTTTAGAAGAGGCAGCAACAAGAAAACCTGCTCTTAACCACAAACAGACATTTCTAAACTGTCACAGGGGTGCTGGGCACAAGGCACAGGTCCGCTCCCTAGCCCCATGTAAAACACTAAAACTCAAATCACTGCAGTTACGGAATACTCTTTCATGCTGTTTTTACCTCCACTTCACACATGGGACACTTTCCTAACTGTTCTCATAGGCTTTGAGGGATTCGTATTTTAATTTTTACCCCAAACCCAAATATCGCTGCTTTGGCTGAATTACTGCTTTCTTTCTCCTGAGATAAATTCTTTGGAGAAGGATGGCAGATGTCTCATTGTCTTGCAAGTGCTGTTTGCCATGGGATCCCACCCAAACAAGTCATGCTCCTGCTGTCCCTACAAAGAGGCCTCTGCAGCCACAAGAGCCAGCACAGACTCAAATCCATGAGGACAGGCAGCAGATGTCATTCAGCTTCCACATCCCGCCACCTGCTCCCCTCCACTTTTGACTATCCACAATTGTGTGTGCCCATAAGATTGAGATGCAATCATGAGATCACATGTACACATTACATGGAATGTGTGGTAAATGAGGAGATATCATGCTGTTCTTAAGGAGGGAATGCAGCTCTTAGGGAAGAAATGAAGTGGCACATGATAGAAACACAGACAAGGAGCAACTAGTCATTTATAGTCAGTAACCTCATGGCCTGGCCAGGTAGGGCTTCCCATCTAAGAGTCATTCATTTGGTGGGTTGACATATGAACACCAGTTATCACCTGCTGTATACTCTCATGGCCCTCGACAATTGTGGAATGACACCATCAAATACTTAATTGACAAATAAATAAATAAATGAGGGTAGATACACCCATCTAAATCCTCACATACTATTTAGCTATGTTAACTTTAAATTTTAAAATATTTTTTTTTCAATTTAAAGAATAGTCCTTTTTCTGCTTCCCAGAAGCACTTTGTCCTAAAGGAGATACAACCTAAAGTCTATGTTAAATGAAATGATCTAGAAACTAATCAATGGAAAAGACTAATGTTAACATCAGGGCAAGGTTATGCCCCGAAATGAACGAAGTCCCAGAGGGTTCCTGATCTGATGAATCCTACCAGGATATCCAGAGACCACCAGACAAATGAAACATCTGAAGGCAGATGACAAGTCCATCAAGAGGAAGTTGTCCCAGGAGGGAGAGTAAGCCGGTAACTTGGGAAGACATCAGGACTTTAACTCACTAGGCTGAGACTTTGGGAAAACAGCGAGGACACAACATGACTGATCCAAAGATGCTGCTGCTGTGTTTACTGACTGTGACACATGTTAACACTCACCTTGTCAGCACGGAATCCAGATGTTTTTTGTCAGGGGGGATAAAAGGCACACCTGCAATAGGAGATAGTATGATGTTTTTGCCATGCTAAGGTTTACTTGAGATAGACCATATTACACCCATTTTGCTCAGTAAATATCTGCAATGGATCAAAAGCATTAGAGAGGTCTTCCTGAAAACAGTGACAATTCCTTACATGTACTGAATCCTGTATTTGTTGCAGTCACAACGGCTTTCTTATTCCCTATTCCAGAAATAGTTACTGGAATACAAAGAGAGGTCCCAAAAATGGACTGTACGATGAGCAAAACTACTATTATAGCACAATATTAACAAAAATTAATGTACAGATGAGGGGTTTGAGCATCACAGTTTTATAGACTACTATAGATTATTTGTGGCTCAAGCACAATCTTGGTTGCCAACAATTTCCTGGTGTCACACCTTGTCTGTTGTGCACCACGAGGAAGGAAAGAGACAACACCTACGGGTTCCAAAGTCTTTCATAATTCACCACACAAGTGGGGCTGCTGATCAAGCCGGGCTGCAGGAAGGGCCCCAAGCAGGGGCATGGGCGGGGTTTATAAGCACACAAGACCACAAACACTTGTTGCCAAGCTACAGCTACATTTTTCCCCAATCAGGAGTCACAGGTTAGGCACTTTCCTTGTGTGTCCTGTCATTGTCAACTGACATAGAACATAAGCTTTTCGGTCCAACCGATCAGATTCATTTCTTCTTTCCATTGTTAGAAACAGCCATCATGTTTTAGAGAACTAAGGGGTATAACAGACTTTTTCTATTGTCTAAGGAAGAGATGGGTCAGCCGTTGGAAAGTTCCCAGCTCCCCTAGGGCTTGGGAGCCTCAATCTACAGGTAAAATGGAGTCTGAAGTCAAAATGGCAGTACTTGGGAGAAGGTGCTTTTGCACGCTCCCTTCACCTGACATGTGTTGGGTTAATGTGTCAGATTTTTCCCATACTATTGATGGTCAAATTAATAATTTATATAATGAGATAGACAAAAACCTCTCAAACGACCTTTGAATGGCTGTCCTGGTTAAAATGACTTTTGCCTTTCCTTGAGACTGTTTGCTAATCTCATAATTCTCTCATGCCTGCCTGGGTTTGTTAGACTAGCTACAAAGACAATGCATTCAACCTTGGTCTCTATTACAGGCCTAATTTTTCTTTAAAAAACTAGAAGGGAGGAGATGTTGGGAGCATAGTATGAAGATCCTTGAGCCCACAATCTCCAGAGAAATTAGGAAAGTTAAGAACACAGGATTGGCCGGGCGGTGGTGGCACACGACTTTAATCCCAGCACTCAGGAGGCAGAGCCAGGCGGATCTTTGTGAGTTCGAGGCCAGCCTGGGCTACCAAGTGAGTTCCAGGAAAGGCACAAAGCTATACAGAGAAACCCTGTTTCGAAAAACCAAATGAGAGAGAGAGAGAGAGAGAGAGAGAGAGAGAGAGAGAGAGAGAGAGAGAGAGAGAGAAAGAACACAGGATTATCTTTTCAATGGAAAAGATGTAATCTGAACAGAGTTTTCATTCTCATCTCTTCCCACAGCTCCCTCCCGCCCCCATGACCACCTGCAGGGTCCCCTAAACTGGGTAAACCGGGACCACCCGAAAGTTTCTCATTAGAAGGCAATATAGAAGCCAGTGTCTGGCCACAATACGGCTGGACTGCTATGTGGCCATTAAAATGGAAAGAGCTCCCTTCTATACAGTGACAGAGGCTAAAGAGTACTAAACAGAGTCATAATATAGAAAATCAAACTTCACACACACACTCTACCTGTGAAACACACCAAGGAAGGGACAGACTTTCACACACATCGTTTTTTTTTATATTGTTCATGTATAAACGGAATCTGTCAATATATTTAAATTTAAAACTACAATTGAAAGCACAATGTTTTCCTTGGTCTCCTCAGAACAGACCTTCTGAGGAAGCCTGGCACTCCACCTTGTACCCATGCCATCCCAGCCTTTGAACTCTGCACTACCTACCCAGCACACCTCTCTGGCTCAAATGTCACCTCCCCGAGGGGCATTCCCCAACCACTTTGTCTCCTCAGGTGCTCCTTTGTCCTGTTCCCCTTCCCCACACCTCCCAGTCTACTTTCCCTGCAGCCCTTTTTGGGGTACCTGCATTGATTGACTCTGCCTGTTATCAGCCTCCTCCAAATGAGTGGGAGCTTAGGAGAACGGGGCTCACCCTCTTCTCGGCTGAATTCCAGAACCAGGCAGAGGACAGAGGACAAAATATGCCCATGAACACATCAGGAATGAAGAGACGAACGATGTCCACTTGCTCCCCTCTCCTGTATGGAAACAGCATTCAACCCCAGCTGAGCTGTGACCACTGACTGCCAGCCCTGCACACCGGAAGCTGAGGTCCAATGTAAACTCTTTAAACCCAACCTTCCTCCTGTACCACCTACAGGACAAGCCACTCAGAACAGACCACCACACCCTCCTCCTTCAGACTCCCAAGCTGTAAATTCACACGCAGCCATGAGAAGATGAAGGCACTCACTGCGCAGTCTCTCAGGCCCAGAGGAACTTAAACTCTGGACTCTGGGTGCTCCTGCCTTGGCTCTAGAAGAGAGCTCCTTGCCTGCTGACCTCACTCCTGCCCAAACAAACTGACCTGGCTATGCAAACCTGGCAAGGAGCTCATCTAGGGGTTTGAACAAGGAAAGGATCTCTTTATCTTAATTAGGAATAATTTCCACTAGTCCTCCATTGATCTTTGCTCAGCCCTTCCTGTGACAGGAACAGGTAGAAAGGGCTAAGCTTTGTTTCCCTCCGTCCTGCAGTCTACTCCTGCCCCCATGGCTGACACGGAAAGCACCCACTTGGCAGAGGTGGGTGGAGTGACAGCCAAGGCAGATGTGGTCCTCGGGCGGGCTGCAGCAGTCACAGCTCTCCCACGGCCCTGCTCTGCAGGAGGAGCCACCCAACTAGTCCTGCAGGCACATCCTTGCCAAAGCCTGGCACTCAGCCTCCTCCTCCTGCCCCCCTGGGCTCCCCATAATCCTTCTCCTTCTCTGGACTCTTTCTCCATCTCTCCACCTTGGCTCTGTGCCCAGAGGACATCCCATAAGCTCTCCCATTGCTTAGAGGGAGGGGATCACACAGATACTCCCCCAGTTAATGTCCAGTTCTCTGCCCAGGACAAGCCAAGGGAGACCTTGGGGATGACTCGTCTATGGGCCGCCTTCCACTGAACCCAGGCCTGCTCCCCCTGGGCCTAGACTGGTGCTTCCCTGACCCAGTTTCCTATGCGCAGTGCACCCCCAAACTGGGGAGCAATTGGGGGACTGAGAGAGAATGGAGGGGAGAAGAGCCCTGTCCCTTTGGAGTACCAGCAGGACCTGACTCAGTCTCCCCTCATGGAGCTAAGGAAGCTGAGAGCTTGTGTTTGCTGACCTTATTCTAGACGTGGAAAAAAGAGGGTCCAGACAGGAGAATGGCTCATCTGATGCCCACAGCACTCAGCAGAGCTGGAGCCAGCACCCACCCAGCTCCTGCCTTCCACCTTGTCTCAGACACTGCCCATCACAAGCTGACTCTCCAATTCTTCCTGCACACAAGGGTGACACACAGGCCTTATAACTGCTTAGCATTACACAGGCTGACTCTCCAGTTCTTCCTGCATACAAGGGTGACACACAGGCCTTATAACTGCTTAGCATTACAACTTGCAAGACCCTGGGACATTTCAGTGAGACTGTTAGCAGGACCCTCTGGAAAGCATCCGTTTTCTAAGAGCCACCTGAACCCACAGTGGCATGGGGACCTGCTATGGTCACACAGGCAGAAGTCAGTGTCCTTCCTACCACTGCTTCAGGTCAGAGGGATCCCACTGTGGGATGAAGAGGTGGAGGTGGCCTAGGGCCTTGGTTGAGCGGAAACACAGTAACCCTACAGACCACAGAACTTGGGGGCAGACCACTGAGGGAGAAATGCCTGGGGGGAAAATTATGAATTCATGGAAAGTACAGTGCAATTTCTCAGGTAACTTATTTGGCACAAGGCCTAACAGCATAGCCCAGGCTGACCTCTGTCTGGGATTAAAGGTGTGTGCCACCACACCTGGCTCTAACTTGGATTTCTAAGACCACGAAGCTGACACTTTTTTTTGTAAGTCAGGATCTTACTTGTATCCCTGGCTGTTCTGGAACTTGCTATGTAGACCAGGATGCCCTGGAACTCAGAGAGCTGCTGCCCTCCCCCAGACCGCTCCCAGTGACATTTTAGACTTCTGAGATTAAAGATGTACCTTACCACTATTTTGAGACAGGGCTGCATATAGCCCAGGCTTGCCCTGAACTCCTGATCCTCCTGCCTCTACTTCCAAGGGCTGGAGTACAGGTGTGTGCCATGTCTGCTTTGATCCATGGCTTTACGCATGCTAGGCAAGCACTCCACCAATGAGCAAATCTCAGCCCAAGGGACTGTCACTTTAAACAATGAGCCACAGAGTTCTTTACCTTCTGTCATCCTAAGCAGCACCCACCGAGACAGGCCTGCAGAGGAAAGGTTTAAGAGCAAGAAAGAGATAAGGAGGGAGAGCACAAGGGTGGGGCCATGGCTGTGGACCCCATGCAGGTCGACCACAGAACAAGCTTCCCACCTCCATTCTGTCTCATGAGGATGGATAAACCGGGAAATGGAGCTGGCCATAAGCAGCCCACTAGACGCAAGGCACCATTCCAGGGAACGCTCCGCAGTGCATGGTCTCATCTCACACCATCAAGACAGCCTTACAGTGACACACAAGCAGCATCTGATCCCCAGTCCTTCCACTGACCCTGTACTGACAGGAATTATAGGGGAGCCCTTCCAACATCCAAGTCTTCTCTGTCTCTCTAATCCCCTCAGTGTCTGCCCCATGTGCTAACAGCCCAGAGAGACCCACAAAGCTGGCAGGTGTCAGCTTTAGATGCCTTGAGCAGTGATACCAGGCGTGGGTTGCCCAGGGCACTGTTGCTACTAAAGTAATATGGCCTGTAATGGAAGCAAGATATAAACAGACTCATAATTCTATGGGGATGCCGTTACTGTAAACTGTGGATGCTTAAGCTCTGCCTCTTCCTGGCCTTCCTTACAAGGGTCCCAAGTAAGTGTTTCCTGGCCCTGAAAAGGATTCACTAACAAGGATCATTTGGTGGGGGTGGGCGTGGAGAGAATCAAACTCCTGCCCAGGACATACCCACACTGCCAGCTAGTGAAGGTTTCAGGGCTCAAGCAGTGTGCTGGTTACCATGGTGAGTCTTCTCAGGAACACACACACACACACACACACACACACACACACACACACACACACACCCCAGAAGCTGCATGGGAAGCCAGGTCCTCCAATGAACCTGGAACGCTGCCCACGTTCATCACACTATCACAGCCAAGAGTGAACTTTTGGTCACCTCCCATCTGCCTCTCCCCTGACCTCACCTGTGCCTAAAGTGGGCATCCTAGAGCTGGCTCTGGAAGAGCATGAATGGTTGGCAAGAAAAATGGCTGCAGCCCAGGGTGTAGAATCCAGGTTGTGGCAGGCCTTTGCTATCTCTCTTCTCCTCTCTCCAGGAAGCCTTCACTTCTTTACTCCAGCTCCCTGGGACCCTGATCACTGGGCCTCTCTGCACACTGTGGTGTGTCAAGGCCCCCGATCCATGTGCCAGCACCCCCTCTCTTTACATGCAGGGTCTAAGTCTGCTCAAGTGACAGACCAAATAAATGAACCACTCACACCACCCTACATCACGTGCTCACTGCTCCAGGCCATCCCCCTCCCTCTAAAGACATGGGGAAGGAAGGCTGCTGTCCCTGCAGACCACAGCCAGGGCCATTTCTTTTCTTCCTGCTCTTCTCTCTGCACACTGGTGCCCACAGACTCACGATGCTGTCAACAGGAATCCTGCCACTGTGGAACATGCAGCTGACCCACAGCTCTTTCTCTGCACAGCACAGCGGACCCAGCTGCAGCCTGAGGCCCAGGACAAAGGTTTCTTCCACCTTCCCCTGCTTCCTTTAAAACGCTCTCCCTGGACTACTTGCTGATAAATGACTCAAAGCTGCAATACCAGTAATTATAGGGCCAGGGACAAAACTGACTCTGCCAGTCTCCACAGACAAAGCCTGTGAACTCAAGAACCCCTGTCTTAAAGGGACCAAATCTACTGTAGGGTAAGAGCACCCTGGGTCCTCCCTCCCATCCCAGACACAAGCCTTCAGCAACACCCATAAGAAGTCCTCACAGCATAACTGTGTCACCTATGAGAGGAGAGGCCCAGCATCCTGGAGGGTCAGGTCCCAAGTCCCCCTCCCTCCCTGTCCCACTCCAGGGGAAGGTGAAACCAAATGGCCCAGGCAACTGGCATTCTTGTCTGCCTCAGCAGTGAGTCTTGGCCAAAGCAACTTGGACTCAGCAGGACTCAGCAATATCCAGATCAAGGGAAAGGGCCTGGGCTATCATTCCCCTCCAACTTCTGTGGTCAAGTTTCTAGGAATTCTGTGGATGGGCATGGTGGCACTTGCTTATGTTTTTTTTTTATTAAATTTTTTAAAATTTATTTTATATACCAACCAGTTTCCCCTCCCACCCCTCATCCTGTTCTCTCCCCCGACCTCTGTCATGCTCCCCCCATCCACTCCTCAGAAAGTGTAAGGCCTCCCATGGGAGTCAACAACACATGGCATATCACTTTGAGGCATGACCAAGCTCCTCCCCCTGCATCAAGGCTGTGCAAGGCATACCATCTTAGGGAATAGGTTCCAAAAGCCAGCTCATGTGCTGGGGATAGATCTTGGTCTCACTGCTAGGGGCCACAAACAAGTTACACAATGATCACGCACGTGCAGAGGGCTTAGATGGGTCCCATTCAGGCTCCCTAGCTGTTGATCTAGAGTCTGTGAGGTCCCACAAGCTCCAGCCAGCTGTCTTTGTGGGTTTCCTTATCACAATCTTGACACCCCCCACTCCCTGACCTTAACACCCATCCCCCACCTCACTTCCCCACCCCCACCTGAACCCCACCCCTCCCCACTCCCGCTGCTCATATAATCTCTCCTCCCTCTCTTCAAGTGTTCTCCCAGAGCTCAGCCCAGGGTCTCTGCATCTGCCTCCATCAGTTACTAGATGATGGTTCTATGATGACAATTAGGGTAATCAGCAATTTGATTACAAGAGAAGGCCAGTTCAGGCACCCTCTCCACTATTGCTACGAGTCTTTTTTTTTTTAGCTTTTATTTTATTTTTTTAATTTTTTTATTATTTTATTATTTTTTTCTATTATCAGGTTGATACAGTATAAGTTCTTATCCTAATAGTGAAATGTTTCACTTAAGTTCACCCAGTGATTGAGTAAAACCAAAACTTATTATAAGCCACAGTCATCCTAGGATCGCCCCCCTCCCTATGTAGCCTCCCTGGTTCTGTGGGTTGCAGTCTGATTGTTCTTTGCTTTCTATCTAGTATCCACTTATGAGTGAGTACATACCATGTTTGTCCTTCTGGGTTTGGGTTACCTCACTCAGGATGATATTTTCTAGTTCCATCCATTTCCCACTTATTCTTTCTTTGATTCGATTTGCCAGTATTTTATTGAGTATTTTTTTTTTTTTTTTTTTTTTTGGTTTTTCGAGACAGGGTTTCTCTGTGTAGCTTTGCGCCTTTCCTGGAACTCACTTGGTAGCCCAGGCTGGCCTCGAACTCACAGAGATCCGCCTGGCTCTGCCTCCCGAGTGCTGGGATTAAAGGCGTGCGCCACCACCGCCCGGCTTATTGAGTATTTTTGCATCAATGTTCATGAGGGAGATTGGTCTGTAATTCTCCTTCTTTGTTACCATCTTTGTAAGGTTTGGGTATCAGGGTAACTGTAGCCTCATAAAAAGAGTTTGGTAATGTTCCTTCTGTTTCTGTTGTGTGGAACAATTTGAAGAGTATTGGAATTAGTTCTTTGAAAATCTGGTAGAATTCTGCACTGAAATCATCTGGTCCTGGGCTTTTTTTGGTTGGGAGACTTTTAATGACTGTTTCTATTTCTTTAGGGGTTATTGGTCTATTTAAATAGTTTATCTGGTCTTGAACTTTGGTATGTAGTATCTATCCAGAAAATTGTCCATTTCTTCCAGATTTTCCAATTTTGTAGAGTACGAGTTTTTGAAATATGACCTGATGAGTCTCTGGATGTTCTCATTGTCTGTTGTTATGTCTCCCATTTCATTTCTGATTTTGTTAATTTGGGTGCTCTCTCTTTGCCTTTTGGTTAATTTGGCTAGGGGTTTGTCTATCTTGTTGATTTTTTCAAAGAACCAACTCTTGGTTTCATTGATTCTTTGTATTGTTCTCTTGGTTTCTATTTCATTGATTTCAGCCCTCAATTTGATTATTTCTTGGCATCTATTCCTCCTGGGAGAGTTTGTTTCTCTTTGTTCTAGAGCTTTCAGTTGTGCTGGTAAGTCATTGGTATGAGATTTCTCCATCTTCTTTATGTAGGCATTTAGTGCTATGAATTTTCCTCTTAGCACTTTTTAGTGTTCCATAAGTTTGGGTATGTTATACTTTCATTTTCATTGAATTCTAGGAAATCTTTAATTTCTTTATTTCTTCCTTGACTCATTGGTGCTTCGGGTGGGCATTATTCAGTTTCCATGAGATTGTAGGCTTTCTATAGTTTTTGTTATTGTTGAAATCTAACTTTAAAGGCATGGTGGTCCGATAAGATACAGGAGGTTATTCCAATGTTTTGTATCTGTTGAGATTTGCTTTGTGACCAAGCATGAGGTCAATTTTTTAGAAGGTTCCATGGGGTTTTGAGAAAAGGTATTTTCTTTTTTGTTAGGGTGGAATGTTCTGTAGGTATCTATTAAGCCCATTTGAGTCATAACATGTGTTAGATCCTTTACTTCTTTGTTAAGTTTCAGTCTGGTAGATCTGTCTTTTGGTGAGAGTGGTGTGTTGAAATCTCCCACTACCAGTGTGTGGGGTTTGATGTGTGATTTAAGCTTTAGTAATGTTTCTTTTATAAAGTGGGTGCCTTTGTATTTGGGGCATAAATGTTCAGAATTGAGACTTCATCTTGGTGGATATTTCCTGTGATAAATATGTAATGTCCATCCTGATCTTTTTTGATTGATTTTAGTTTGAAGTCTATTTTATTAGATATTAGGATAGCTACATCAGCTTGCTTCTTAAGTCCATTTGATTGGAAAGCCTTTTCCCAGCCCTTTACTCTGAGGTAGTGTCTGTCTTTGAAGTTCAGGTGTGTTTCTTTTATGCAGCCGAAGTGTGTGTGTCTTTTTATAGGTGAGTAGAGACCATTGATATTGATGGATATTAATGACCAGTGATTGTTAATTCCTGTTATTTTTTTTTTATGGTAGTGTTGTGTTTCCCTTCTTTAGTATTTATTGGTGTGGGATTATCTATTGCCTGAGTTTTCATGGGTGTGTTTAACTTCCTTAGGTTCGATTTTTCCTTCTAGTGCTTTCTCTAGGGCTGGATTTGTGGATAGGCAGTTTAAATCTGGTCTTATCATGGAATATTTTGTTTACTCTGTCTATGGTGATTGAGAGTTTTGCAGGGTATAACAGTCTGGGTTGGCATCCGTGGTCTCTTAGTGTCTGCATAACATTTGTCCAGGACCTTCTAGCTTTCATAGTCTTTATTGAGAAGTCTGGTGTTATTCTGATGGGTCTGCCTTTATATGTTTTTTGGTCTTTTTCCTTTGTGGCTCTTAATATTTTTTTCTTTGTTCTGTATGTTTAGTGTTTTGATTATTATGTGGCGAGGGGACTTTTTTTTGAATCCAGCCTATTCGGTGTTCTGTAAACTTCTTGTATTTTCGTAGGTATTTCTTTCTTTAGGTTAGGAAAGTTTTTTTCTATGATTTTGTTGAATATATTTTCTGTGCCTTTGAGTTGGTATTCTCCTTCTTTTATCCCTATTATTCTTAGGTTTGGTCTTTTCATGGTGTCCCAAATTTCTTGGACGTTTTGTGTTACAACTTTTTTGGCTTTAGTGTTTTCTTTGACTGATGAATCTATTTTCTCTATTGTGTCTTCAGTGTCAGAGATTCTCTGTTCCATCTCTTGCCTTCGGTTGGTTTTGCTTGCATCTGTAGTTCCTGTTTGTTTAGTCAGAATTTCTATTTCCAGCGTTTAGTCAAAATTTCTATTTCCAGCATTCCCTCAGTTTATGTTTTCTTTATTGTCTCAATTTCAATTTTCAAATCTTGAACTGTTTCCTTCATCTGTTTAATTACTTTTTCTTGGCTTTCTTTGATTTCTTCCAATTTTTGTCTGTTTTTTCTTCCATTTCTTTAAGGAAATTTTTTATTTCCTCTTTAAGGGTGTTTTTCATTTCCTCTTTGAGGGCCTCTATCACCTTCTTAAAGTCATTTTTATGACTGATTTCTTCTGCTTCTTTTGCCTTGGTATGTTCAGGTCTTGCAGGTGTAGAATCACTAGGTTCTGATGTTGTCATATAGGTCTTTATGTTGTTGCCTGTATTTTGCACTGGCGTCTACTCATCTCTTCCTCCACTCAGTGCAGGTGGTGTCTGTGTCTGAGGGTGCCTCTCTTGTTCCAATTGATAGTCTTGGTCCACTAGGAGTTTCTTGGTCGAATCGGTGCTGTTAGGCTCTGTTTCTCCAGGAGCAGCTTAGTCCAATCGGTGTTAGTGGGTTCTGTCTAAGGGAGCAATTGTTCCCAATTGGTGCAGGGTGCGCTTATGGTTCCAGTGGTTGTTGGGTTTGTAAGGGTTGGTTTATTTTTTTGGTGGAGGAGCAGGGAAAGGTAGCTGTCTGGTCCCTGGGACTCCAGTGGCTGGGGCCTAGGGGCTAGAGACCTGGTCTGCTGGTCCAGAGATAGTGGCTTACCTGTTACCAGTCGGTGTAGGGTGGGCTTATGATTCTGGTGATCTGGTTCGGTGACTGGGCGGCACCTTCTTTTGTGTTCTCAGGTCTCGTTTTGCTCATCTGTCAACTCCTCAGCTGATCTTGTTTCCTCAGACTGCAGACTGTAGGCTTCTGAATCCTCTCCCGAATGGATCTCAGCTGAGCAGGTTGTTCAGTAGGGCAATCTCACCAACACCTCCAAGTTGTTGGGTTTCACAGGATCGGCAGCTGGGCCCTGCGTTGGCCTCAGGCAGAATGTTGGGTCCGTTCTCGCTAGGAATCTTAGCTGTGGTCATCCTTGTGGATTCCTGGGAGTTTCCTTGGC